ACCATCGCGTCGGTCGCGGATATTCTTATATCGTAACATTAGATCGATTCCTAATCGATTTTTAATTTGATAGAGGCTGAACTCTCCCAAATCGATTAGATGCCTCTTTTCAATTTTTACATCGACGCTATGGTTCCCTTCTTTGAATCCTCGATACTCTCTATATTTAATCGCCTTGCTCCGATTTTTCTAGGGCACTCTGCTCGGCCTTCTGCCCCGTGGATTAACGCCGTGGTAAAAAAATTGATTGCTTTGAAATCTCGAGCTCTTTAAATAAGTTTAAGCGCTCCAGTACCGACTCATTCATTATAGAGAGCTTCGAAATGCTATTACTGCAACTGTGCGTTGCGAAAAAAAGGCTTTCCTATCCTTACCTCTTTCCTAACTCTCCTTAATTTTGGCGTAACCTGTCTATTCTTGGTGCAGTCTCCTCGTCCACTCCATCTATCCCAAACCATCTTCTCGATCCATCTCGCCTCAACAATTATTTTATCGATTTTACTCTCTTCCTAGTTCTATTCTCGATTCCCTCTCACCCTCTCAAATCTCTTGTTCATCTAACTTCATCACTCCTGATTCTTTTTCTTTTTCCCCTATTACAGCCACCTATCTTTTTAATATCCTGAAGATCATAAAATTTACTTCTGCCAGTCCTTTTGACATATCTGATTGTATATTCCTATTCTGTCTTCCACAATGTCTTGACCCTCTCTTTTACATTCTTAATTATTCCTTATCTTCCATCTTTTCCTCTGCTTAGAAGTAAGCTGTAGTATTTCCAATTATTAAAAATAGTAATACCTCTTTACTCTCCTCCTTTCGACCAATTTCTATCACTCCTTTCCTCTCTAAACTGCTTGAGCTTTGTTTCGATCAATTGAATGACTTCTTTGGAAAGTGCAATTCGATTCCTGATTGTCAGTTTAGTTTTCGCAGTTCTCACAGTACTACTACTTATCTAATACTGTGTTACGCGGATTCGACTCAGGATTATTATCCTCGTTTATTGTTCTTTATTGTTCTTTTTCGAGAGCTTTTGATACAGTTGATTACGAATTGCTTCTCCTGAAGCTTCTTTCCTCTAATCTATCTTCTTCCGCTTTTTCATTTTTACGTTTCTTCCTTACTAATCGCTCTCAACGTGTTCTTTAGAATCTTTCTCCCTCCTTCTCTCCTCTTTGCAATATCCCCTCCGGCGTTCCCCAAGATTCCATCCTTGGTCCTTTATTTTTCATGATATTTATCGCTGACCTTGCGTCCATATCACTTAACTCCAAACTCTTCACGTATGCTGATAGTGTCGTACTATTGTATTCTTTTCATATATCCGAAGCTTCCTCTGCTGCTGCTGACATAAACCAGGATCTTTTGCTCTATTATGCAATGGGTCTCTTCCAATGCACTCCATCTTAACCCTTCTAAATCCTCTTTGCTTGTTGTAGGATCACTTTCCTTACGATCCCATCTCTCTTCTTTCAACATTCTCTTTAACCACTCACAAATTCTATTTCTCTCCCTCTGTCAAAATTCTTGGAGTCCATTTTGACTCTTCCTGGATTTTTTATGAGCATATCGTGATGAAATGTCGCGCAGTCTTCTTATGTTTTCACTTTTTATATCTATTTCATCACATCCTATCAACCTCACAGAAATTCCTAGTATCCCTGATTGTAATTTCCTTGTTCAACTATGCCGACTTGATCTACATATCAGAGTCCAGCGTGTTCAGAATTCATGTTTTCGTTATTCTTTTAATGTATGTAAGTATGATCATATCTCCTCTTGTTTTTTGTGCTCAAGATGCATCACCATGCATTATGTTTTTTACTTGTGTTGTCTTATTTTTCATTTTCCTCTAGCATTCCTCGATACCTCCGTACCTTGAATTCCAATCTCCATTCTGATGACACACAATATCATAATTCCTTATCTAGACATCGAAATTCAAGGCTGCGTTTTCCTACACTGCCACAAAATTTTACAACATACTCATCCCCTTCAGTTCCTTCGTATCGCTCTGTCGCTACTAAATTCATATCAATGCTTTAAGTCTATTTACTTTAATTGTCAGTATTTTTTATATTAATTCTGGTTTTTTTAATTGTCTTCGTTTACTATGTGATAAGTCTGCATTTATTATTTTTATTTTAATGCTTTTTTGCGATTATATTCAAATCATTCTTGTGCTCTATTTTTTTAAAACTATTGAGTTATTTACTAAGCAAGAAGTTTATCTTTCTGAAATTGTACTAATTTCTCTGTAATTTGTAATTTGTAATTTGTTTTATTTTCTGGGAAGTATAGTAATAGCAGTTCTGGTGGTGCCTCACCATTTGTGTATGCTTTATAATTTCTCTATACACAATAAATAAAAATAATAATAATTTTAAGACATTGTACGGTTTGATTTTGGATATGTGTATTGTCATTTTTTTTAATGGATCAATATTATACCAACTGGATCAAAGCTATATCATTTTACACTATATAAAAGAATATAATTACATAAATACAACAATACATTGTACATGTACAGTATATAATTATAATAAAAAATGATTAAAATGCAATATACGGGAACAAGCAACAAGAGATTTCAGAAAGCGTCTATTCTAGTACACATGGTTTCTGATAGGTTGAAATTTGTCATTTCCTGTTCCTATTGCCTGTGCTTTTTATTATGTTTCCAGCTTTATAAGTAGAATCGATTCTAGATTCAGGATCAATGGCGAAGTGACAAGTGTCACCAGCAATTGGGAATAAAAAGCTAGGACTTTATTTTTTTCTTTAATTCTTATATGATTAATAAAGACAGACATTATATTGCATTTGCATTTACTTCAAAAATTATAATTTGTTATGAAATTATAAAGTTTATGTCCCAAAATGGCGAACCGTTAAGATGTATTTGCCATTATCCCATATATCAGTAGATATGCATTGATATTCCCAGGTTGAAGGTTAAACATAGATTGACAATCTAAGTCCAATAATGAAAAAACATTATTTCAAAACCTCTCCAAAGGAGGACCATCGAATGAAATAGATCAGTTTAATGCAAGAAATCCATGTAAATGTCATAAATTTATTAAATTAATAAACAATTAATTTAAGCTCAGGTTTCAAACTGTGATATATCAACAATGTAATTATTGCAATATAATATATGGTATTATATACGCTAATATGAATGCTGCAAAAAATTTTAAGTATAATATCACGTTGTTTTATATTATTTTATCGATTAATGCTGTCAAAAAATGATTTGTGATTTGTTAATATTTATTAATACAGACATTCCATATTTAAGAAATTAAACTTTGTTTGATATATAATATATAATGTCTATTAATGCAAAGAATTATTAATGTAATTGTAAAAAACAAAATGTTAAAACTTTTAACACATAAAGTATAGTATTTTAAAATTTTCAGCTTCTTTTTTATCGCAAAAATCATGTTGCGATACATTAATGCCTATGTATTGCACACTTATAAATTATTCATGATATTCCGGGGAAGCGATGAATGATATAGTTTTATATTTTGCGATAACAAGTGATCGCAAGCGCAATGCAATAGCAAAATAATAATTAAACGATACCACATGCACGATCTGATTTTGCTGTCTTTTTATCATAACGGGAATCAAGGCATGCACGAATCGAACGCACGCGCATTTTACAGTTCCCAAGTCCCAATGTAAGTCGCAAATTACGATTGACGTCATTTACGCCGCACAAGTGCTTAGGATATTATTATACCTGCGCCGTCCGTAACACAATATAATTACATGTGGGAGTTTTCATTTTGTGTTGTATACTTGATTATAACATTCTTTTTCGTTTGATATAATCGGTGACGGGCGTTTTACGATTATTAAAGCGAGTGAATTGCATATACTATCACTCAAAAGATTATAATTGTTATAAATCATTAATTTGTTATATTTTATTTTTTTCAAGATTGCTTTCAGAATTCTGCAAAATTTAGATCGTTGTACAGTTGTTTGATAAATAATTGTTTGACTTTGAAAAATATTCTAAGAGTATTAAATATTCTCTGCCTGCAAAATTGCATAATATTGCGTAAAACGCATTTATAATTAAATTTATTTTTATTTACACATCTCTTGATCTTGCATTTTGGTTCCTATTTAAAAAATAGAAGCCAATTGATAAAGGTAAGTACATATGTTATACAATTGTTGATCAAGAAATATGAGTATAGTATACAGTATGGTTTATCATAAATTTTATTTTTGAGTTTGAATTAATTAAAAACTGTAATTTTACAAAATATTTGCGATGTATCCAAGACATCCAATATTTTAATTCAATATTTTTATGTATCGTTATATTTATACAGTGATTGATAATTAAGTACTCCAAAAGAATTTAAGGTGGGATTCTTCAAATTAATTTAAGATGGAGACTTCATATTATCATATGTCTAAAAAAATGGCATAGTTTCAAAGATACAAAATTAAAAGGCAAATTTGTAAGTTTAAAATCAAACTGTTGGAATATATATATAAATCATATTAAATTTTCGGCTTTATTTAATATGAAAAATTTTTCTTTAAAACCTTTTACAGTACTTAACTATCGCCTTATATAAAATAGAAAAAAGTTTTTAAATAATTCTTATTACATTTTTATTACATATTTTTATTACGATTACTTTTTTAAATCTTATAAATAATCTAATTTCAAGATTAATTTGAAAACTTTTATATATGCAATAATGTGAATAGTATTACATCTTAAATAATTATTTACTCTAGGCTCGAATTAACTAATTTCTGTGATATATACATAAAAACAGATAATTAATGATGTTGGTTGAAAGAGATAAAATTAAACCTAAAAGCAATACTTTTATCAAGCAAGCATGGATGATAAAAGTTTCGGAGAAATCATCGCGCTTGAAAACTATATTAAAGTATTTAAAATTATATTGTAATTATTCCAGTATAAACAGCTTAAAATATCTTGTCGATTCTCAAAGACCTTGGTTTGAGAGGTAAAATCAATCAAAATCACTTTTATTTACAGTATGATTAGTGTATGCACAATTAAATATAGAATTATGTAGGAATTTCTAGATATATAAACGCAAAAATTTATATAAGTATCATAAAAGACTTGCTGCTAAATTTGATCTTTTCAAAATAAATATTTTTTTAACTCTTGCAAATATCTTTTTAACTCTTAATTACAATAATAAATTGTTTTATTTAATTAATAAATGATCTTTAATTTTGTATTAAAATAAAATATTTTAATATATAAAACTAAAGATGGATAAAAGAAGGGAGAAGCAATATCATATTCAAGAATTAATTCAGGCAACATGCAAACATTATTGTCGTTTGACATCAAAATGACATAAGCTTGCTACTTGGGAAACACATAATACTTTTAAATTATTGTTTATAAATTTAATTAACATATTGTTGTATAATTAAGATTTAGTAATACAAAAACATTGATTTAAAAAATATGACATTATTATTATATTACTAAAATAATGTCATATGAAGATCGTACTTTTGGAAAAAGTAATAATTCGTATCTAAAAATAAAAAAAAAGTTTTTTGTATGTATGTATAGTATATCTTTTTATTTATTTTTCTTGTTTTTAGATCTATTTATAATTAACTTTTTATTTAAAATGAATATTTCTTAAACTGCACACTATTTTATTTGTATTTTTGAAACACTCTAAATTATGCGCAAAACTAATGTATTTAAAAGATCTTAGTATAATAAAATTTTGCTTCAACAGGATTGGTTTGGATGTTGCTCACTCATTTAACAAACTTGCGCTCGAAAGCTAATTCGCATATAATATAATACGATTGTATCTTTATTTTAGTAATGATAAAAGCGGTTTAAGCACATGAGTTGCATATACATATAGAAAAATATAAATAAAATAAGCAAGCAAAGCAAATTAATAGGGTACTATTAATTTGCTTTACTTGCTTATTTTATTTATATTTTTAAAAGTTCGAAGATACAACAATAGAGATAAAAGTAAAGCAAGAGTAGATTTATTTACCTAACCACTTTAACTAAATAATATCATTTTTGCACTTGTGTAATTAAATATATCTTTCAGAATTATGTGGGTTATTATACATTGCATAATTATATCTGTTCTGGTGAGTATGGTTTATACTTCCTATCAAGAATTTGAGTCACAACCTTTAGTAACTTCCATGGATGCAAATATTAAAACGGCTAAGATATTCTTTCCAGGTATATTAAGATTAAGATATTTTCTTAACTTGCGTGCATGCAATTTATTTATAAAGATTTATTTGATTTTTAATATACTAATAAATAGTTCATTTAACTAGGATTATTTATCTTCTAACGGATAAACATTTTCCTGAATTGAATCACTCGTAATAATTACGAAAATATTCAAATTGATGTATTTATATATATATTCAAATAAAGAAGCTTTTTTTGTTATAGATATAAAAATTAAATAAGAAATAATGTTTCAAGATACAAAAAATATAGAGATTAATAGAATAAATAAAAAAATTAAATGTATTAAAAGAATTAAACAAATCATTGACAATTATAGATAAAAAATACATTTTTAATTAATATATATATGCAAATATATATGTATATATATAATATATATAGTAATTTAAGATTAAATTATTTAAGCATTAAAGGTCCAGCTTCGACCGTTATATTCAACAGGTGTTTTTTGGTAAACCTTTCTCTTTATACTTATATCAGAAAATAATCTCCGAATGATCTTGATCTTGACCTTGATGTTATTCATTTAAAAGTTATTAACAAAACAATTTTTATAAATTATTTATATGAAATTTATGAATTGTATGCAATTTTAGTATAATATATGCGTTTTATATATTAAATCTTCGCTTAAAAACATAAATCTGACTTTAAAAATGCAAAAATTATGTAAGAACATAAATTGTTAATAATAAAAGTACAAAATGGGTAGTACATAATAAAAGTTTTTTTGCGTGATAATCAGTGCGAAATAAACATCTTTATTATAAAATATCTATACACCAAATTAAAAATCTTCATATATATTTTTCGACTCTGCTTCAAACCACCTTCAATACGTTAAATAAAAATCTTTCTACCTATTCATGATAAAAAAGGAAAAGTAACAAATCAATACTGTCCCTGTTTAATTGATACGTGGTTTAAAAGTCAATGATAACGAATAAAGTATAGAAATTAGAGATCATGATTTTCAACGTGTATTGGAGATACATGTATAAGTGTACACGTGTAATTAATTATACATCCGTATTTCAATTCGTGTAATTTTTAAAATACGGATACACAGGTATTAAAACACACGAATACACGTATCGAAATATACGGTTTAAAAGAGACACATATATCCGTATATATTATATCAATATACGGATATAGTTACACAGTATATCATTTTCTATTTTCCCTTTTCTTTTTTTTTTATTTTGTTACATTTATAAAAAATATATACCTCGATATTTTTCAGGAATTGCTATCTGCTCCATTAATAGAATTAGCTTGCAATCGGCGAAAAAACTGGCGACCAATATGTAAGCTGTATTTGTATACTAAATAAACGCAAATTGCGTTTACATATATTAAACATGCATTTGTGTTATATACGGATACCGACGAAATATTATTAAAGATCGATATCCTTACGGGAATTCGCATCCTTATTATATGCTTTATTAGCAAACGCACGTTTAAATATGTTACGCTATTGAACGCTATTGTAGACATCAATTACGTGGTCAAAGAAAGTCATGCATTTTTTGTCCTTGCTACTGTATATTAAAGATATCTTTGAAAAATGTGTTTTATATATGATGACTTTAAATGATATATTTATGATATTTCTTTTTAAACTAGTTCTAATGCAAAAATCACGGACCGATCAGTCGATGAAATTCTCAATTTGATAATGCAGCTGGGCAATCTCTACGTTTCTATGATGGTCATAGATAATAGTAATGATGTGGAATTAGATAAACTATTAACAACTTATTATAACGGGTCTTATGATGTCACTCAAATAATGAAAACTGTACGTATGCAAACTCAATCAACATTTAATTTCAAATATACTAGAGTTTTACTTGCAAAAACACTTTTATTAGACTTTTCTTATAAATACATATACATATATATATATATACATATATATATATATACACGCGTAAACTTTTTTTAATTGTGTAATAATTAAGTAACTGATAATGCAAATTGCTTAATTTTTATTGTTTAGTATAATAACAGAAATTGAATTCAAGCTTGTTTAATTTTAAATGCAAGTTTCTTCGTAATCCCATTCAACATAATCCCATTACATTTATGCCGATTTTTTTTGCTCTCTGTCCAAATTTTACTCTAACTTTCAATCTTCTAGTGATTCTAATAAATAAAAACCATTTATGCAGACAACCATTTTTATGCGCTTTAAATAAAAGATTTCCTCTAAAGATCAATCAAAATATTATTTACACGATACTTCGCGTGTCAGCCATCGTTGTTATCGTTTATATAAAAAATTGTCGGAGATTTACAATACATATCGTGTATTTACATTTTCCAGCTGACGCCACAATGTTCGACGATATTATTGAAATGTATATTGCATGGAATCGACAGAAATTGCTCAGAACTTTTTGAGTTTCGCAAAACGCAGGACGGATACTGTTGCACCTTCAATTACGTGCGTGAAAGCGACGACATTCCCGAGTGAGTATCCCGTGCTTTCAAAATGTATTTCCGGGAAGCATACACACGTAGTAATTTAACTACTTATTCGATCAGTTTGCTTACGTGTAGGCAGTGCAGTAACATTTCAGAATAGATAAATGAAAATATCCTCAAAAACAATTCCGGATGTCTACAAAACTGCCTACAGCTTTTGTACACAATTATATTGTACATAGCGTATTGCACACACGAAAATTATCTGCACTCTCTATCTCTTATCTGCACTCTAATTAACTACATTGTTGTAATTTCGAAAACGAGGCTTCCAAATACAATCGAAAATCAAGTGAAATTACATGTAAGTTCGATTGAGATTATATAAGAAGTCTCGTTCGGGAGGATTACAACCCCTCCGCCCGCCTAAAAAAAAATCTACAAAGAACTGATTTCTAATTTTACAACGTAACTTTGAAATATAAGTAGGCAAGGCTTTTGCGAGGGAGAGAATGTTCACTTCTGGACTCTACATTACGACATTGAGCGGCATGAAATCCATTAATTCTTGGCGCTTATTTTTTCTTTTTTTAAAAAAATTTTTTTTGAGTATAATACGGTCGTGTGTGCAATAGAGCTAGAATATCGTTATGCAAACACTTAAGCTATAGATTTCATTTTGTAGGCAACTGGAGCCCTCTCTTCCCAGAAGCTATCATTATGTACTATATAAAAATGTTCTATGAGTGCCATTTATATCAAAATGTTCTATTATTTATATAACATTGTTTTATTTATCATTGTATTATTTTATTATATTTTATGACTATGTTTTGACGGTAAAGACAATAAATATATTGTTATTTTTTAAAATTAATTATTTTAAATATTTTCTCATCACATATTTAAAAGTGACAAATACCAAATTGACATCAATTGAATCGTAACACGCTACTACTAAATACTAAATAATTTTCAATGTTTGTTGATTATAATATTGCAGGAAAATACTGCTGTTTGTCTTAATCTATTTTTGTACACGCGATGCATTAACTATCGCGACGAGAAAAATCGATATTTTATAGAATAATTCATGAGTCCTTTTTAATTATAATATGAATATGGAAATAAATTTTTCTTAACAGATATTTAATAGGAATCAATTTTTAATCAAAGAAAAACTTAAAATCAATAAAACGTAAGTTCTTTTCATATCTTTTTATATTCCAAAATATTAATAATATGTATTTTTGGCAATATACATTAATTTTTAATGATTAATAATTCATTATGTTTTAATGAAAAAATTATCTCTCATATTAATTCGATTTACATTTATAATTTTCATTTTGAATAAAAATATGCGGTATAATGGTATTTCATTTGTAGAAATTTTACTGATTTGTTAATTAGAAGTGCATGAATTAGTTTGAATTCGGATCAAATAACAATGAATTCGATTTTATTTATTTTTGAACTTAAGAGAATCGAAACCGATTAAGTTTAAAGTTTCGAATCATCAGTGATTCGAAACACTATTTTATTTGCTTCATTTTGGGTGAACCAAATGCAATATACGTGAAGTAGTACATCCATCATGGAAAAGTAATACAAAAGTAACACACTATCATTTTTTCCACGAAGACCGACACAAAAAAAAAACAAAGAACGAAGAATAAAATAGAAGCAGACATTATTAATCTAAGACCTGTATTATTTTGTGTTCCCTCTTTTTGTAAAATATTATAATATTTTGTATTTTCTTCTTTTTTTCAAAACTTCTTTTAAATTTATTTAGACAAGTACGAACAAAACAACTTGTAAAAAATGTCTAAATTTAAAATGAGGTAGATATATATTTGGACGTTGAAAAAAAGAGAAAGTAAAGATGCAGAGTGCAAAAAGTGCAAACAACGCGAATAAACCTAATGTCTAATCAGCATTTTAAAAATCAATATCGCGATTTTATACTGGATGCTCATTGATTTTGCGGTCTTAATGTCTTATTCCATGCTTATCCTGTACTATATTAATATATTTCAAATATCATTGATAGAGACAGTGTCATTGTGACTTAATATCTTTCAATCCTATCGCTCGCTTCTAAGTCTCAAAAGTAGTACAAAAAAGAGTGCACATTGAAAATCCATCGCCCGAAAAAAGAATACATATACAATAAAAAGAGTACGAATGATTACCCTAGCTTTATTTATGCATGATTTTTCTATACATTATCTCAACTCACTCTTGTATCAGCACATATCAATTCTCGTGTATGCGTTTACGTTTATTCATCGTGTATCATCGGTTATCGTTGATGAATTCTATTGGCTGTATTAAGAAAACAAATCTTATAAGCGCGTAATATTATTTAATATTAAGTAATATTTGAGGCATATTCTTAAAATATTAAATGTAATTTGAAGAACATTATACTAAAATTATATTATATTAAATAATATTCTCGAAATATTAATGGAAGTTTATATGTCCACTCTTGATAATATTGTGTGATTATTAAAAGTAACATTATTTTAATGGTACTGTAATATTGTATAAATATTATATTAAAAAATATTATAACAAAATTTACTTTAATTTGTAAAACTGCTACATCTGTTTAGTATAAGTATACGTTGAAAGATTTGATTAAAAATAATTTTGGCGCGCAATTGTAGACTGTATATGTATGTATTTAAAATCAAAGCCAAAACATTTTTTTTAGCACAAAATGCAGCATAAACTGATAAGAGCTTTTTGTTGCAATTCACTGGATTGTGAATTCGAATTGCACTAAATTAAGAATAATTAATATTTATAAATATTTTAATAATATTTCAGAGATATTAAGATATATTACCTAGAGCATTATACAAGTATATGTTATTATGTGTGTGCGGACACATAATCTCTATACACTACTCCTGTAATATTAAAAAAAAATATTATATGGTATTTTCGAAATATTATAATAACATTATTTTAATTTCTTAATAATATTCATATAACATTTTAGGAATATTTTGCGCTTATAGAGAAATCGCTCAGTAATTATTTATTACAATTGATTTGATTTATACATTTACATCAACAAAAAATTAAAAACAATATTAATTATACTATAGAATTACTGCGCTAGCTGAATGACCTTGATTTCTAAATAGAGCAGTCTGATACAGTGGGACTATTTTTTATGATTAAACTAGTATTACATTGTTGTAATTTAAAGTGAAATATAAGTGTGCTAATTTTTTTTTAAAACTTTACCAATATATAATTTTCATTTATTATTTTGTATTTTTGTCATAATTTTTTAATGAAGCATTTATTAACCTATGTTTACATAAAATTTTTTTTCTTATTTTTACTTGTAGAATATGCTGGTAAAGTTTTACGAAAAAACTGGGACACTCTACTGTTAAATATAAGCATCACGATTGTTTATAAAATAATTGGTAGAAATTGTACTCTAACAGTCTGAACAATATGATTAAACTGACGAGAGATCAGGAACGAGTGGAGACTCTCGGAATAGAAAACGGTTTATCAGTCTTAATGGATCCACTTTTGGATGACAATTTCTATTCAATATTGCCCTTTAGGGGTTGGAAAGTAAGTAGAAACAACATTATAGGCTGTGGTAATTAATTGAGGAAGTAAAACAATGATCTTTAATTATATCCTGCATTTTTTAAAACGACTTACATGTCGGAGCTATAAATCTTATCAAGCAAAAATTATTTATCGTTCATTTTATGATGATAATGCCAGAATTGGAACAGTCATAGTTACTTATAACAGATTAGAAAAGTCATTTGTTACAGAAAAAAAATCTAGCAATTTGTTACTTGTTATCCTTGCACTTCCTGCACGGGAATTAATATATTTAATTTCCCATAAGAATGACTTGAAATATATAAGTCGGAACACGTGCGGATATATGTATATTAAAATATTGTTTTATTAGAATTGGACTTTTTAAACCTGTTTATTATTATATTTGTGCACAAAAAGTACCGCGCTGACCTTTACTTCTCAATATATTGTTGTCTGTAATTTAATTAAATTTAATTAAATTTAAAGAAATCGTGTGCGTGCATATGCGCGCGCACGAGAAAGGAGAGAGAGAGAGAGAGAGAGAGAGAGAGAGAGAGAGAGATTGAGAGAATGGGGAGGAGTGGGGGAGATCTTTCAGAGAAAAAGAGAGAAATTTAGTAAAACTAACATTCATTGAGTTTTTAGGTGACTGTGTTCAATCCTACTGATTATCCGGATATGACCAGTGGTGGTGTCACGGAGGTGTTCGCAATACCTCAATACGAAACATATCTGAATGTGGAAGCAACGCTCTTTAGTAGTAGTCAGACCATTATAAATTTACCCAGAAATAAACGTAACTGCTTATTTTCAGATGAAACAGTTTTTTCAAATATTACGATGTATACTTATAGTGATTGTATCGTCGATTGTAAGATTAATGACATACAGAAGTTCTGTGGATGCAGACCGTTTATTTATCCACGTCGTGGCAAGAAAGATTGTTAGTAAAAACATGTTAATTTATTCAATTGTTTATGCTTCCAACAATTGTTGACCTTGATCCTCAAAAATCGAAAAGTCTAAATGTGACCTTTCCGTCGCTTATTGTTTATTGAAAAGTTATTAACAAAACAATTTTTATATAAATAGAATATAATTTCTGAAACAAACAAGATATATATTTCAGCAAAGTATATATGATAAATCTCGCATTTCAACGTTTCCGACATTGAGCGATTATGATGTGAGATATGCATGCTGTTTAGCCCATTTTGACGTAAAAGAAGATCATTATATGAATTATTTAGCAGAATTTATGTTTAAAACAAAGTGTGATTGTAATGAAAGAATACCGCAACGTTTTAACATAGCAGCTTCCTTATATAATTAATGTTTATTAACTAATGTTGTAGCAACTATCAGTGAATAAAATATATTTTCTCGGAAAAATGTTAACAATATGTTATTTATTATGTGTTAAATGTTTTCTTCTTAATGTTATTATTTTAAGTTGTAATCCTAATACGTATGTACAAATACCGAACCACGCGAAATCTCCTTAAGTGTCAAGGTCAACATCAAGGTTACTCAGAAGTCATTTGAGGCTGACTGTGTAAACGGAAATAATTATCTAAGTTGTTATAATTATCTGATTGTTGTAAAAACGATCTAATTTTTTAAAATTTGCTTTATAAAAAAGAAATTTTAATTTTATTTATACAATTTTATCCTTTTTACATATTAATTTTATAAATATTCTTTATTTGAGACTATTATTATGCTTTACATGTAATATATAAATATATATTACAAATATATATGTATGCTTTGTTATATTTCAGATTCATGGCATATTTGCAATATCACAGACTTCCAATGTCTAACTAAGTATAAATGTAAACATTTTATTACATGATTAACAGTTGCTTTTTTACATAAGCAATTTGAAAATTTTGATGTTTATATTACCTATAACATATAAATATTAAATAAATAATAATAGTTATGTCATTTACTTTATATATTGATCCTTTATTTTCTGGAATAGCTAAACGATTGACGATTTTCCCTCATGAGGATGATCACAGTATTTTTCACGAAGAAAAAGATGCTTTACATTGTTTACATTGTTATCCTGCCTGCAATGATACTAATTTTGGTGTATTAAGTTGGAGAAGTCACATGGATCTCGGTACATTTGAACTTAACTTATTGTAAGCATGGCATTTTTATTGTTATAAAAAATAAAATACTTTTTGAAGATTATTTCTAAAAAAGACGTGGTCATATCTTTGTTTAATTTCAGTCCGAATTACAAAATTACTAATGAAGGAGTGCTGCATGTATACTTTTCGAACTACCGCACAATCCAATTGAAACAAGATGTGTCTTCTTACTGGTATAATCTTTTAAGTAAGTACAGATTGTTAAGAAATGTACTCGTAAATGGAAGTTTAAATGTAAATTTTTACAATATTTAAACTTTTACACGTTTTTATTAGATTAAAAACTTTATGAAATAAACTCAAAAAAATTTATGAAGTAAACTCAATCTATTTTGAATATAAGATTCATAGAAATAAAATTTTTTTCTTTTATTCTTTTATATTTCTTTTTTAAGAAATCTTATAATTATAAATTTAATTATTTTACTAAATTTTTTAAAAACATATGCTAATAATCAATTAAGGCAAAAGCCATTCAAATAATTTTTTGTAAAATAGATAAAATTGATAAGCCGAAGGAATGTAAAAGACATATCATACAAAAACTTTAAGCTTTCAGAATCATACTAATTAAAAATGATAAAGATAGAAATATCAAACATCTAATTATATTATGTGTATGATATAAAGTTAGCTATAATATTAAATATATCAATGATGTTTCGGCACTAAGTATTTATACTTATACAATTTATACTATAAGAGGGAGTTCAATTAAACGTTCTTCTTATAGTATAAATAGATGTTTGAAGACATAACTCTAATTTGCAATATTTCTGTCTTTATCATTTTTAATTGGTTGCAGAAGAAGAAGTAAATGTACAGAACGTTTTATTCAATATGTAAACTATAATCGAATTTTTTTACAATTTTATATCTTTTCCTACAAAGAATATGAATAAGATATCACATGATCAAAGTTAGAGTGGAATAGAAATTTTCTGTCCACGTTGTTCTGTAAGATGTTCAGAAGTTCTCAAAGATGGACTTTTAATTTTTTAATATTTTATGCATCACGTTCTTTATTCTAGTCTAATTCTCGTGCAAAAAGAAAAGATAACATTTTATATATGTATAAAGGGCAATTTCTACTGCTTTATTTTCCGATAGAAGTTTATTTATTTTAAACAGTTTATTCAACTTTTCATAATCCCAAAAATAAAAAAAATAATTTTTAATATATATAATTAAGATTCGGTAAAAAAATTTTTTAATTTGATTTTGTATTGGGTTGGAGGAAAAATTTGGCGATATTTTGTTAGCTTAAAATTATATATATTTTCATTAAAAATGATCAAAATTTAAAAAAAGGGTTTCAAAGTTTAAAATCTCTACTTTTGAATGGTTACTATATTTTTTTAATTTATGTGAGTTTTATAATTTTTATATATAGAAAATTACGAAAATTCTTTTTTTCACTTTGTAGATCTGTCACATGCCAAAAAATTTGCAAAAATTTTCGACTCTTTATATCGTGAATGTTCGAAGGTTTTCTTACAAAATCATTTTTTTTTAATTTCTACGATTTTCTATTTTTGAGTTATTTGCGAAATAAAAAGAAGCATTCTGATTTTGATTGTTCATAACTCCATTAAAAATCATCGTCCGCATGTAATTTGATAATAAAAAGTCATAGGAACCTTTTTTAAAAACGAATTTTTAGGAAAAACTTTAAGCTTTCACGTCTGGTAGTCAAAAATTTTGCAACAAATATATTCTGTATATAATATTGAGCTAACAAAATTTCACAGAACTTTTTCTCCGACCCAATATATATTATGTATATGAATTTATAACAATATTTATATCTATTATACTGATAAAATAATTATATAATAAAAATTTCATTCAAAATAATGTTTGAAAATTTTAGACGTTTTTTACTCATTCTTAGAAAATCTGTTTTAAAATTTAAACATAGATTTAGAAATACTTTTTAAAAAATTGACATTTTAGGAATTATTTAAAATATCTGTTACAATACGTTTTTTAAACAATATTTTTTTAAATCCAATAATTGTTATTGGATCTAAAAAATAATGCTAAAAAATACATTATTATAATATTTAAATAATATTAATCCTAAAAATGTCAATTTTAAAAAACTATTTCCAACTTTTGCCTTGAGTATATACATATGTGTTTATACATGCGCGTATGTGTACTTACAACTACAAAAAATATAGCATTATATATATCCAATCCATAAAATATTCTATAGTAACAAACCTGTGTAAAAAAAAAGAAAAAGATAACAGTGATATCGCTGAAAAAATCCATTGTCTCTTTTACAACATAAATAATCACAGAAGGATTCTGTTTACTGTTTACAAATCGATTGCCTGCAGCATCGTTTGTCTACATCACTTTTGTCGACAATTCGTTTCCGCATAAAAATTATTGTCTACAACTCGATTACCTACATACACTTTACACACAAATGAAAATTTCAGAAACAATGTCACATTTGCCTAGATGTGTTATTGCCTACCTTTATTATATTATATTACTTATTGCTCGATTGCCTGCATATATTATTCTCTGCTTTAAAAATACAAATTCTGTGTTTTAAAACACAAATTTTCTGCTTTAAAAATATAAAGTATTTTCTTACTTAACATTTTATATTTATGCGCAAAGGTGCGTAGGCAATCGAGCTGTAGGTGACAATTTTTGTAATCGATGAACTGTCATAAAAGTGATATAGACAAATGATGCTGTAGTCAATCGATTTTTAGATAAAAGGAGCCATCTCAATCGTCATTTCATGCGCGTAATGCTTTTTAAGAATAAACATTGGAAACACGTGGCCGTTTTATGAAGTGATCTTATCCTCTCTTGCTCATCGTATTACAAAAATGATCGTTTTACAGGTGATATCGGCGGTTTATGTGGCATCTTCATCGGCTTTAGTTTCATCACTATAGTGGAGCTTCTGTATTTCTTTGTGCTCCTGTTTTGCAATTTGTTCTGTAAAAAATCGGTCTTGCAAAAGGATGATCGCAAGATTGAAATCTCACCAGACCAAACTCAAACAACAGGAGAATTATATTGGAATGAACTGTTACCACGATCTTGGCATTCAGCGAAATACTGCAACTTCTCTATTAAAAAAGCTAGATATTAACTGACGTAGTTATTATAAAATTATTCAAGAAAATTTCCGATTAAAATAATTTTATTTTTGTCAATTAATACATGATATTAAATTTTAAATAAACATAAAAATTTTCTTAACAAAATATATACTTTAAATTTGAAATTTAAAATAGATATTTCCAAAATCACCGGTAAAAACCGAATCAATCTGTAGACTTTCCACCACTCCCGTCGATTAAAATCGGCGATCCTCTTTTATTTTACACCATAAAATTAGAAACTTTAATCTAAAATTAATTTTGGCTGAAATTTTGGTAATAATAACATATATATCAAAATCGCAACATAAGTTATATATGCTAAAAACGTCTTAAAGACATTTTAAGATACTGTATGTTTTGATTTTGGATAAGTGTGTTATTTTTATTATTGTACTTTTTATTTTTTGTTATTTTTGTTAATGTACTAATATTATACAGACTAGATCAATACTCTATTTTACAATATATAAAAGAATATAATATACGTAAATACAACAATATATTATGCACGTATGGTACATAATTATAGTAAAAAATATAATTAAAACGCAATACACAACTCTAATATTGTCTTACAATTAGATTCTTAAAATAAAATTATTTGAAATAGTCCGAAACCTGTATAATATAATAACATAATATTCACAATTCTTATATCAGGTACATTAATGACGACTTTTTGATATTAAAAGTTAAATTTCTTAAGAATATAAAATAAAAATTGAAAAAATATCTAATAACGTGTTAATTCGGGAAATTTTGTATTATTATATGCACTTTGATTTCATGTAATTCGGTTTACACAATTATGTTAATATTAATACACAATAGTAATATGAACTTTTATGCATAACAATTTCTCTAAATCTGTATCCTATATTTCTATACAGATAAATTTCAATTTCTTTATATTGTAAAATTATAAAATTAATAAAGTTTTATTTCATTGTCGACGTTACAATATCTAATATAATATATAATATATAATATAATAAATGAATTTAGTAATTTGATTTAATTTTTATATAAATCATATTATTCATGAAACGTACACTCTCATTATATTTGATGGTATATATTTTGTTTATGGCTAAAGTTATAAAGATTTCCTACGCAATCCAAAAAGATATAAATATTTTCCATCTGCTTTGTAATTCTATTTTAATATCCATAATTTATATTTATATCTTGATTGTTATATATTATTTATATGTGATTATTATATATAGAAGTAGATGTAATTTTAAGACTTTCTTTGACATTTTTAATATTTACCAAGGAATTTATATTTTTGGTTATATTCTAAAGATAATAGAATATTCCATGGTAATAGAATATTTCAGTTTGCATAATAGGCAATTTTTTTTTAGAGATTTTTTGACACATGTATCAGGGTTGTTATTAATGATGCACCGGGTTCGACGACGTATGAATTTGATACTGTTTAAAAATATTTTTTTATTCTGACGTAATATATAATAACATAGAAAGAATAAGAAGTGAATTAAACGGCTAGCTATGCCTCTATTACTAATGAATAAACACGCAAAAACATTTTGATACAGTTTGGTTACTATACCAGAATCACGCTAAAAGAAACGCGTAATAATATTCCTTAATGTATAAACAATAATATAAATTTTGTATGTTATGTATATATCTTCTATATATCAATCACATTTAAAATGGAAATATTAAATCTCATATACAAAATAAATAACGTATATTGCAAGGATTAGAAGGAAAATCGAAAGAAAATTAAAACAAATAACGTGGTACTTATGTATACAATATCAAGAAAGAATAATAAATTTAAGTTACTAATTAAACGAATAAAATGAAAATCTTTAACTAGTAAATACAACAAATTATTTTGTAATTTATTGTGATATGTTTCCAAACATAAAAATAAATTAAAAAATAACATGTTTGCAAAATTATTCTATCTATCTAAGTAATAGTACCTTTAATAACATTTATTTAAGTATATATATATA